TCACATCAGTTGCAGCACAAAAAGGATGGAAAATTTATTAGATGGATGTGAAGTCAGCATTTCTTAAAGGCTACCTAGAAGAATAAGTTTATATTGAGCAACCACCTGGATACTTTAAAAAGGGACATGAAGACAAAGTTTACTGATTGAAAAAAGCTTTATATGGTCTGAAGCAATCCCTGAGAGCATGGAACACGAGAATTGATGAATATTTCCAGAGAAATGGGTTCATGAAGAGTCTATACGAGCATGCTTATACACAAAGAAAAATGAAGACGGTGATATCATGATCGTGTGCTTATATATAGACGACATGATTTTCACAGGAAATAATCCAGGTATGTTAAATGATTTTAAGAAATCTATGACTAAAGAATTTGAAATGACATATTGGAGAAATATCATACTTCCTTGGAGTTGAAGTGAAACAAATGCAAGAATGAATATTTATATCACAAAAGAAGTATGCAGAATAAATTTTAAGAAAATTCAGAATGGAATATTGCAAGCCGATAGCTACTCCAGCAGAACCAGGAATCAAATTAAGTGTGAATTCAACAAGAGAGCAAGTGAATTCGACGTTGTTTAAAAGCATCGTTGGAAGTCTAAGGTATATAACTATCACACGACCAGACATAGCATACGTTGTGGGATTGGTAAGCAGATTCATGGAGAATCCGAAACTAGATCATTGGATTGCAGAAAAAAGAATCCTCATATATGTCAAAGGTACAACAGATCATGGTTTGTTCTACACGCGATCAGAAAATTCGAAGTTGGTTGGTTATTCTGATAGTGATTATGGGGGAGACTTAGACGATCGAAAAAGCACAATTAGATATCTATTTCATATCGACTCTGCAGCATTTTCATGGTCATTAAAGAAATAACAAACGGTAGTTCTTTCAACATATGAAGCATAATACATAGTCGCAGCAGTGTGCACTTGCCAAGCAATATGGTTAAAGAATCTTTTGAACGAACTAAATTTGGCACAAGAAGAACTGATTACAATTTATGTCGACAACAAGTCTACAATTTCTCTTGCCAAGAATCTAGTCTCCCATAGCCGAAGCATGCATATCGATACAAAGTATCACTTTATACGAGAGCAGGTGAAAAACAAAAATGTTGAGCTAATTTACTGCAAAACTGAAGATCAACTAGCAGACATTTTCACAAAGTCATTGAGAGCATATATATTCAACCGACTCAAAGAAAAGCTTGGAATGGAAAGTCGAGTTTGAGGGGGAGTGTTAGAAAGTCAAACTCAATTATGAAGAAGAATGTAGAAACAAAGCAATGTGGCAGTGTACTAAACCACTAATATATGTCGGCAAAGATTTTTTCTTTAATTATTTGAAACAACATGACAAACAAGGCAATAATTGAAAATTTGAGAAGCATCTTCAAAGTCGGTTTACTATATATATATATATGCTTGTTAGTTTTTAGAGCAATACGAATGAGTGGAAAAAATTAGAGAAAGTGAGGAAAAATACGAGTGAAAGAATTAGAGAGATTTGATAGAGCTTAGCAAAGCTGTAAGGTGTTTGTAAACTAGATGCATCTAGTGTTGTAGTATTGTAATATTGATGTAACGTCGTTGTAACGTATTTTGTTTCGTAACAATAAAAGTTTGAGTGTTATAAATCACCGAGTGCCCATCTACGCTTTCAACAGTTGTAGCAAGTCATGGAAAAAATGGAGAGCTTGAAATGAGTTCACTCGAAATAATTTAATTTATTCTCACTTTTATCAGAATGTTGATAGGAGGTTAAGTTATCACTACAATCTTTTTACTTGTAGTATGGGTGGTGTTAAAATGGAGTCGAGAAAAGTTGAAATCCACTTGTTTTTGTGCATAGGCATTACGTAATTGCATGGGTGGTAATTTATATATGTTGAAGAAGAAGGGTCGAAGGATCGGTCAAACATGCTAAGTCAGCTGGTTTAACGTGTCACATCAGTATTTCATTACTGCAGTAACGATTTATTAACAGCGGTTAACGTCGAGTGAATATTTTGTAATAAACGATAACGTTAGCGACCATTTTGTAACAAATGATAATGTTAGTGAGCGATTTGTGACTTTTCAAACATCAGTGGTGAAAACGAACACTAACCCAAACACTAGTAACCATTGGTGTAGTTTACCCAAATTTAAATTAAATATAAAAATGCTTAATGCGTGTTCTTTTAATTTGTTGAGATATTTGATTTATTCATGTTTGTGTGAACTTTTTAGTTAGTTATAGGTTTAGTTTGAGTCGATTTAGGGTTTATTTTACATTAAAAATAATAATTACATAAAAATGTAAGTGCAATTAATAATAATTATATGAAAGTATTTCAAGCATTAGATTTTTTAGATACATCCTTAATTAATAAATTAAGGCTTAATACATTTTTAGGTGCCTAAACTATACATCAAATTGATTTTTGGCGTCTAAATAATTTTTCGTTAAAAATAAGTGTCTAATGTTTTCTCCGTTACACTTTTAGATGTCTACTGTTAAAAAAATCATTAAAGGACACATGTCACGTTCAAATTTTTTTAAATATATATATTAAAATAATATTTTATTTATAAACAAAAAAAATGACATGTGTCACTTATTTTTTTAACGGTATGCACCTAAAAATATAACAAAGAAAACATTAGGCAACTACGTTTAACAAAAAATCCTTTCAACACCAAAAATCAATTTAAGATATAGTTTAAATACCTAAAAGTATATTAAATCATAAATTAATTACCCAAATCTAATTAAGTAGTTACATTTCAGATTGCACCTTTAGTTAACGATTTGGTGTATTTTGTTCAATATTAATAACGAACAATCAAAATTCGAATATTTAAATTTATTTAAAAAATTAATATTTTATTTGAATGAATTAACAGGTCATTAAATTATAGTCTTACCTTAATATAAAAGCTAAATTAAGAAAAGCGAATCCAAGAAATTTAATTGAGGTTCAAATATAATATTGGAGATAATTTTTAGGTTAATTGTAGGCCCTTGACGTTAGTTTTCAGTTAACTTGAATTTGATTTATAAAATTAGGTTAAAAGTTGTACCAAATTCCAAAGAGAAACTGACGCCTGAAATGGTTTCTGATTCCTTGAGTAGAAAGGTCAAGCATGCATGCGTGCCAAATTTAAATATACATTTAATATCTAAATCAGTTATCTTAATAAAATAATAATCAATATTCAAATTTTAATTATTTTTATTTTTAACATTAACTTTTAACAATATTATGATAGTATTACATGTCAATAACAATGGTATCGTATATTTTAAAAAAATATTTGCAATTTATTAATTAATTAATCTCACCAATTTCTTTCTAATCGACTAGTCTTCACTCTTCTCATTTATTTTATTTTTATTTGAACCTTCAATATATTTTCTTATTTTATGTAGAGACAGCATTTTGTTTGTTTTTTCTGTGTGCAAAATCATATTTTCTCTGTCCCCTAAGTTTACTTTTTATTGATTTTAAGAGTTAAAACTTTTTAAATTTTTATCATAATTATTTTAAATATTTTAAATAATTAAATTTCATAAATATATATTTCAAAATTACTTGATTCAAGGTTTTTGAAATGTATTTTTATAAATAAAAAAATTTAAATAATAAAGAGTTGGTGTTTAAAATAAGAGGTATAGGGTCAATTCATGCCAAGAGCAAGAATTCTACTTTTTTATTTATTTTATCCCCATAGTCGATGACACGTGTTATCATTTAATTGGTTGAATAAAATTAATTAAAAATATTGAAGTGGAAATAGAAAAATGATGCGAAAATTAAAAAATTATAAAAAATTGACATGTCATACCACATCAAGATTATCATTAATGTTTTGTAAAAAAAACAAAGTTTAGGTATTAAAACGAAATAAAAATGATAGCGTAAGTATTAAACATACAATTTACCCTTTTAATATTTACTTAATAAGAACAATTTAATTAGTTGTGTGTTTTAGGGTGTTGCTTTAGTGATAGGGATGGTTACTCGAAAATTTTGGTCATACTTGTCAACCCGGCCGACTCAAAAAATTTATATCCTCCGCCTGACCGGAAATAATATATTTACTAAAGAATATTATTTTATTTAATAAAAATAGAAATTTAATTGAAAAATAATAATACATAGAGCGATATTATTATAATTATTCATAAATATATAATGTAAAATTATATATTTTCTTTGGGTCGGATATCATGTCTATCCCTATTTAGTGATGTGTTGTATGGGATGTGCGCTATAGGCTCATCATTATTATATGTAGCTACTTTTTCAATTTTAATTAAAAAGCTTAATTTAAAATAATTTTTATACTCATCTATTAATTTTTACAACTGTTACCATATTTATATTTCATACTTTTTATAGGTCAACATTGTAGTTATCATATTTATTTTATGAAATTATATATTTCAAAATATTTATCCAAAAAAATACTAATACAACAACTACTAATATTTTTGAATTAATAGAGTTCAAAAGTTATAAATTTGAGCAAACACGTCCTTAAACAATACTAGTACGAGGAATTTGTCAACCCAGTGGGGTTAGCATCGGAAGACAATAGCAACGAATGGACCCCACTATGGGACCCATGTGCAGCAACAGACTTATATAAGGCGCGTACGTAACACTTCCATTTTACCTGAACCCGAGCCAAACCAAAATGACTGAACTGAGAGACAGAGCTTCTCACGCTAGCTGGACCCCCCCCCCCCCTCTCTCTCTCTCTCTCTCTCTATATATATATATATATATACATATATTATTTTAACATCTTTCACTTTAATTTTTCTTCATTATGTGAAGCTCACGGCTTCGACTGTCAACATCAATTTCCCTTTCCTTTTTATTAAATATTTAATTTGGATACTTTTGGTAATTTAGCCGTTTCTTTTTAATTTTGCCATTTGCTCCTTTTATGTGTTTTGAGTTTGGATCTTGACGAATCAATGCCATAGAAGACTGGAAGTAGTTTCAGTTTTTCATGTTTTTTAGGCTTAAAGGTTACTTATGTTTTTGTGGTAGATACAATTAAATTTATCATTTTCACTTTTATTTTTATTTTCACATCAATTTAACTCTGAAAATTATTTAATTGTGTCATTCTATACCATTCTCTTTATTTAAAACCCTAAGTTAGTATTTATAGATAATAGGGTAATGATTTAGTGTTTAAAGATTATGATTTAGGGTTTTAAGCTAGAGATAGTGTTTAAGGATTATGATTTAGGGTTCTAAGCTAGGGGTAGAGTTATAGAATAGTGTAATTGAGCAACTTCGAATGTTAAATTGATATGAAAGTGATAAATTAGATCTAATACATGGGCAAAAGTTTTCATTTTCCTTTTTTTATTGTTTTTTCATTAAGTCTTCGTAGAAATACATGATTTTATATTAGAAGGCAAAATTTATAAAAATTTAAGGGGATAAGCTTATAAAATCTTAGGGGACAATAATTTTTCAATATAAAATATATAAATTATATGAGAAACTAAAATTTTTAAGAAATAACTTGATACATCCATGTCGGTGTCTCATAGTTGTTTTTCATCTGCGATTGTTTTTTTATTAGACCATAGTTGTTTTCCATGATAAGTAATCCCTTTTAATTAGACCAAGGTGAATCGTTTTTTTAAAACCTTGCTTTGTGAATGTTATATTGGCTAGGACCATATTGTCTCTCGATTTTCGAGTTCTTTAAATCAAGTTAAAACTTAGCTCAGTTTAGTTGACGATAACCAGGAATTTGTTCAGAAGACGCCACCGTGACCTATTGCTTTTCGTTCTCTCAGTTGGGAGGATCGGGAGGCTAACGCGGCGGAAAAATGCTTTCAAAAAATTTCATGGGTTGGACTATTGGAGCATGCTCAACGATATTGAAGGTCTACCTTCTTCAAGACTTTGCCGTATATCTTTACCGAGTTCCTAAGTAGGGACAAACATAATATTTTATGTTAGGAGTAAACTTCTAAAATTTTCGAATAGGGTGAACTTTATTAAGAAATGATGAATTATTCAAATATGGTTTTCTCGTGGCCACAACTGGTGGCGATGACAAGATAATTAAGGTTGTTTACGTTTCATTTAATCTCAAATGATAATTTTGCATCATGGAGAAAGTGATCAATCAGTTAGTTGATTCTTTCGGGTGTGGAAGCCATTACCAGGAAGATGTCCATGTAAGAATTACCCTGGATTCAGCTATACAAATAACATGGGACGTAAGATGATCGTCACATTGCCCAAAACCCAAAACACGTTTCAGACGAATTTAAAAGTACGGAAACATCAAAACAAACTTGAGCAAATAAGCAATTGGCAGAAACAAGTAGGCATTACTAATCTCAACCTACGAGCGAGTAACCCATCAATTGACCAACTGATGGGTCTCGCAAAATGCATGTAATTATGTTATATGTTACAGATTAAATCAAATGAGTTGGGACTGCCAGAAGTTCACACCGGAAAGAACATTTTATTTTATTTTATTTTACTTTTCACATCTTCAAGCATCCACCTTTGCTGCAACAGATGCATAACTCACTACTGTCTCTTGTTGTTTTGCACCGACTAGATTGTTCGAGTCGAAGGAATTTGATCTTTATTCTTGTTGAGCTGTTCCTTAGCATCTGAAATATTCAAAGATAAGCATGATCATTAAAAAAAAAATCTGCATCTGAAATATTCAAAGGAAACTGAAACAACCATTCTACTAGTAGGCTTTTTGAGGCACTTACATGAAGGAAAACACTGATTGGATGGCGTCCACAGATAGTATTGTGATACTCCGACAGATATTCTTTGAATGCATCTGCATCTCCAGTTTCTATTATATCCATGCTCATCTTGTCCAAGGCTTCTATCGATTTATGTACGGCACCATACTTCTTGTCATAGTGCATGTAATTAAACCTGGCACCAGAAGGAAAAAGCTAAATATTAGTGACATAATGTAGAAAACCAAAATCATTCATCCAAACATTGAATAAGCTTTGATGATTCGTATCATATAATAGAACCAGGGATAAAAACCATTGAACAACAAGATTTCTTTAAAAAGAAAATAATGTATTTGTACTTTTAACAGATAATCAGTAAATAAAACCATCTATGAACCAGCTGAATAAGTAGTGTTTGAAAATAGAAGTAACATTTCATAGAACCTGGATCATAAAAGTCTACAGCACACAGCTTCCCTTTTAGGGGTTTAGCAGTGAGGTAAGTTTCTGGTATACTAAAAGATGTAGCTAGTATACATATGAAGACATCTTGTACATCATTCATGACAAATATGGTATTTATGCCAAACAAAAAAGTTGAGATTTAAGAGGAAAGAAAGACTGAATCCAGCATACCGAGAACCCCAGTGACAAAAATCTGACGATACAGAGAATAAATTTTGAGGATCATCTATATACTTGGCCAGCAACTTTCCATACATTGCTTCATTTTCGGCACTAAGAGCACCAACCAAAATTGGTACAACTGTCACTGAATGCCTATATCACCACACCCAAAATCAACTTCAATTAGGATCAAGTATAGAGAATTACTTAATATATGTTTAAAAATTACCCCTCAAATACTTTTGCAAGATAAGGCAAGTGCATTTCCATGCTATGCCCAGCTTCATCAACGCGAAGATTCATCAATTCAAATTTTCCTGTGGCTTTCAGTTCCTCGATGACTGAAAGATGAAAAAATTGACTACTTTTGTATGGAGGACAAAGAGGCTTTGGGATTGGGGGGGGAAACACAAGCCGCTCATTAGGGGAAAAGAATTACCAACCAAAAACCACAGTCAATTGGCTCAATAAAATATAGTATGACATTTTACTAGACTTGTCAACAAAGCTAATCTGATATGATAAGAAGAAAAATGATATTTAGTCCAATGTAAATGGACATCACTCACCTTCCATATCAATAGGTAAGTCCCCTATCGGTGTCTTGTACATCATAGCAGTTGACAGAGCACATTTTGGAGTGAAATAATGGTGAGATGGACCAAGAAGGAATATCCGAGAACTGCACTTGTAGATTTTCTTGAACATCAGTCAATTTTAATAATAAATGAAACAGATGAAGTAATTAGTTTTTAGCTCAAACATTACAATCTTCATATATTCAGTACAAAACATCTGAACAAAACATCTGAACAAAATTTGGCTTAAGATAAGAATAATGATTAAAGAAAAGCATATTTCCTGAGAATCGAAATACAATATGTGATATTAACTATAACAATCAAAGAGGAGAAGTATAACGAAAGGTGCACATGTTCGTTGGGTCTATATTTCCAAAAGCATAGGCAGCAGCACGTCCTGAATATGAATAGCCTGCATGCCTGAATTTCCCAAGCCACCACCAAACCAGAGACGAGAATACATTAAAACATCAATTATGTTATACAGAAACAAACAAAAAGGTGACACAACAACTTACGGAGCAATTACACCTCTTACATCAGAAGATTTAGGCAAGCTAGTTGCACTAAGCCACCCATCGAGCTCTTCCGCTAGTTCTTTTGCTAAGAAAATTGCATACATTTATATATGTAAATGTGTGTGTGTGTGTGTAAATATATTATTTCACTATAATTTTCTTAAAAGCCTGAATTGCAAAGGAAATAACTCACACCTAAGGCATGAATAATGAAATACATAAAGCCTTCCAGTACGAGTTGAAAGCATCAATGTTTTCAACTTAAGATCAGTTGAATGAATAATGTTGTAATTCAACACTTAAATAAATTATTAAAAAAACTTTTTTTCAGCTTTACTTAACAGAAGACAAATTCATTCCAGAAATAACTCTGTCTTAATTGAATCTTCGAAATTACTTAGCTTAGCTCCTAAATCTTCATTGTTTTATTGTTTAATTTTCTCGATACTAACAATATTTTTTTGCCTCAGCCTGATCATTCGCAAAAAGGAAAGCAAAAAGCATGAATCGGAATTAATTACGAAAATCGGTAGCGGTTTGGAGGAGCATTTAAAGGACTTACAGTTATCAGCGTACCAAGATCTTGCATGAGAAGCTCTTCTGATTCTTTCCATGGAGAATAGAGCGAAAGCCCCAATCTAATCTTTCGGTGGAAATTAGGATTCAGGCTCAGAAACGCTTTAGCGATCGTCAAAAGAAAGATGAACAAAGAAACAATTTTCTATATATAAAGCACTCTCTCTACTACACTGATTCAGGGAATTGGTGCGAAGTATAACGAGGAGAGACTCCAATACGTTAACTTAAGCTGCTCCTGGAATTGTTACTCTATGCTTCAGCACCATTCCTCCTCCTGGTCCTCTTGGTCTTCTCAAGGCTTAAATATATGGGTAAATTACGTGTGTAGTACCTAAAGTTTTACCTTTAGTACGTTTTAGTATCTAAAGTTTTAATTCTTACAAAATCATACCTAATATTTTGTTATTGTTCCGTTTTAGTAACCCGCCATTAAATTTTTTATTGAAAATCATACAAAAAGAACTCTTACCTAAAACAAAAATATTAAATCCAAAAATACAAAAAAAAAACAAAACTTTTATTGAAAATGACATTTAACATCAAGAAAAACTTTGTAACTTTCACAAAATTTATAGTTTCTATTGAACAATATGTTGTACGAAGTGATAAAAAAGTGATTAACAAACCAAATTATTTAACAGATTATTTCGCTACACAATTCTTATTATATCGATAAATAACCTTTTATAAAGAGGGATCTGACAATACATGATCATCAATAAACCAAACAGAAAATAAATGTTGTGAAAAAAGGTACCAAAAGCCATTAGAAACATGCCACGAGAGCAAATAAAAAGCGTACCAAACTAGAACAAAGAAAAAGCGTGTTGACAAATTTTTTTATTTAAAATTGAAAAACTAAAAAACAAGAAATAATATAATAATAATAATAATCACAAACAATCGATAATCAATATTAAAATTGATGTGACCGTTAGTTGAACAACAAAAAATGAAATGCCTCACAAAAATATTAAGAAAAAATAGATTATAAAAAACCCTAATTCAATTACATAAGCGCTTTTAAAAACACAATTTAATCTCTGAAAATATCATACTAAATTATTTTTCTAACGGCTTCTTAGATGGGCTTTATTATATTAAAAATACCAAAAATTATTTTTTTATAAATAACCCTCAAATTATATTTATAAAAAAATATCATCAAATTGCTCATATAGGATGACCTTGTATTCTGCAAAAAAAACGAGATCAAATCTCACTTTTTACGAAAAATAAATTTTATACATTTATTATTATTTTTATCTAATATTAAGTGACTTTGTCTTAAAAAATTGATAGATCTCATATCCTATAAAATTTGAGGTCCATTAAACACGTGAGGTAATCTTAAGTGAATAATTTAGAGGTATTTTTTAACTAATGCTGTTTGGTAGATATTCATCCAAAAAAATATAATTTTTAAGGATTTTTTATATAATAATGCCTTTAAGATGTTCACTAATAATTTCGTCTCAAACACAAGGCGATTGCCGAATAAGAAATTGGAGTGGACCCAAAAACCACTTGAGAACCAAGAAGAGCTCGCTGCCCAAGGAAAAGGGATTAGCCTTTGAGTTTGTCCACGACGAGTCCGCATTGCATATTTTAGTTTTTCGATTCCAGCTAATGAGAAGACACCACAGTTGCCGCTTCTCCCGGCTTTTAAGCATGATTTTCTTCCCGCCATTTTTTTGCAACATATTTTACGATTCTTAAAAGTATTTAAAATTTGTCGTATATTTTAAAATAGGTGTTCAAAACTTAAAAGTTATTAATTAAGATTTATTCTTTTTCCTAAATTATAGGTTTAATTAAAAATAAAAAACTTTTGAGGAAAAAAAATCAAAGGTTTTTATAATTTAAAAATTAATGTAACCCTCGTATTACGATTTCTCTCAATTTAACATTTCAATTCAGAAAATCAATATTATATGGCCTTTTGATTGATATTTTTCATTGTTGACAATTACGATATCGATGCGATAGTTCACAATACTGATGTAATGATGTACAGTGCTGACATGGCGAATGACATGACATATGTACTAAATTGGGTTTTTGGTTTTGTTCGAGTGTCAAATTAGTTCTTTTATGTTCAATGACTTATATAATTTTAAAAAATAAAGATTATTTTGAATTGTAAATATAAAAGTATTCAAATATTAAAAAAAATAACTAAATATAAAAAATATTAAAAAAAAATAATATACATATTAAAAATGTTAGAATTATTGTAATTTTTTAAAATTAAATATATGTAATATGTTTTTGTATGTCTTTTAACATGTTTTGATCTTTTTTATTTGTTATTTGGTCGATTTCATTGTTTAGTTTTATTAGGGATGAGTTTGATATCCCTTCGACTGATTAAGATGATATTTAGTTATTATCTTGTTGATATGTCATGTTTGGACCCTCAATGTATTTAAATATATCATTTGCATTTGGAGATAATTTTCTCACGATGTTCAATTCTGATATCAATTACCTGTGGTTTTTCAATAGTTTGATCACTTATTGTAGTTTATTTGTCGGTGTAATCAGATTTATTTGCTTTTTTATTTTGTTCAAGCTTTTTTTCGACGTATTAAGTGGCTAATTCCGAATCAATTGTTATATAAAATATTCTAATTACCTATTTATTTACACTTATGATGTAAATTTTATTGTAATTTTAAATATTTTTTCTAATAAAACTAACTGTTGTTACTTTTGTTATATGTAATAGAGAAAAAGACATGTACTGAAAGGGTAAACAGATTATTCCAGGGGCCTGTACTTTTGGGCAAGCTTTTGAAACTCGCTTAAGGCCCAAATATCTTATTACTGTTTTCATTTAGCCGGGCTTCAGAAAATTTATCAAAGGTTACTGTTGGTTTTTTTTGCCCCAATAGGATAAACAGGTAAATTATTTAGGAAAATATGGTAAGCAGAAATTTTTTGGATCTATGTTATTTTTTATAGTTTAATAAAATTCGTCATTCATGTTGAGGTGATGAGTTTTAATAAAAAATATTTTTTATTTAAACTCGTCACGTCGAGATGATAAATTATAATAAAATATATTTTTTATTAATTTTTGTATATCGAGGTGAAAAGTTTAAATAAAGAATATTTTTTATTAAAATCTGTCATCTCGACGTGATGAGTTCCAAGTCACTGTAACAAATACCGTAGATCTCTAAATAAACTTTTATATGACTGTAGGACTAATCAATTACACTGTTTGCCTTTGTAAAAAAAATTCGTTACTGTTTTCATTGTAGAACATAAAGGTCATGTCAAAGGATGTTTTGATTGCATTGGTCTTAATTATTGTAGCTCCATTAAGTTCAAATGTTGCACTGCACCAGTTAGTTACTTGGTAGATTCAAATATTAATGTAGAGGGTAATCTCTTAAGTCCATTTTTTTTAACATGACAACGACTTAAATTAACCCTAATGCATTTTTTTACTCAATTGTTCCTTTAGAAATCGGTATTATTACCCTTTCAAACCTTCATTAATGTATTAATTGGTTGACAATGGCTCTCTGATTTGTTTTAATTGAAGTCCCTCATTGTTTTGAGGTTTATTTACTGGTTGAGAAGGGGCGCACCGTAATTAGATTTATCGTCTAAAATAATTAAGTAAGCCAAAGTTTATTACACCGTATCCTCGCAACATCTTACAATTCTTATTCACAGATACGAAGAAACAAAAGGAACAAAAAATCACAATCTGCCAACCTACAAATGGAATTTACTCTATAAATTAACAGTAAATATAGATTTTTAACTTTCTAAACAGTGTTGCATGGCACCAATCAGGTTCATCGATTTTAACCTCATCCTCTCTTTCTCAGGCTGATTGATCTGGATGCTCTTCCATGTACCCGAAACCGATCTCCATTGTTTTCACCTGCTGCATTACTTAATAATTCCGTGTTCAAGTTCCTGTAAAAGTTGTAAACTATGCTTCTATACGAGGAAGAAGACATGCGTTACTCACCTTACTTTTTCCGTTTGTTCTTGGAGACGGTTGAAGTGGACGGATTGCTATGCCAGTTCCTCTTCCTCTGATTGATGAACCAATTGTTTATTTGCTTTAACTGTAAACCTGTTTCCTGAACCAACCTTGCCTTATCTTCCTCCTGCAAGTTTGTCGGGCAGATATTTAGGAATAGTTGACAAGGGAAAGTTCCTTTGTTTGTTTGTTGAATGAAATTTCTTCATGGTGGCCTTGAACTTACAGTCGGGTATGGCCACTTGGAATGCGACTGCCACCAAGCTTTTAAAACTGAAGTAGTGTCACCGGGGAAGTTTTCCCGCCCTTCTCTTGCGCAGAATTTCTTCCCTAATGTCCTCAATCTTCTCCTTGTAACCCTGTTTGAGTTCATGTTTGAGTTCTTGCCTCACACGCTCCATCAAAGACCTTTCACTCTCAGTCGGGACCAGGGCCCCCAATCCCATTGAATCTGGACCATCCAAACCGTCATCAAACAAATTCGCATCATTTTTCTACTTGGTCTTCGTCATCATCCGACATTGTTGCTCCTGTGCCTTCCCCCGGAGATACTCCTGTATATGTAACGCAAAAAATTGGGAAACTGAAAATCAATGACAGATCGGTTTATATAATAAAGGAGCCTTCAGTGTTCGAGAAACTAGGGGAATTTGCCAACACATCATCTGCTAGATATGTAGACCGTACCTGTTAAGCTCTGTAAGGATTGCTCAATTTCCCAACAAGCCATAACCGCTTCCATTGCATGGACCCGAACATGTTGTTGCAATTGCTCTTTAAATGAGCATAGCAACAGAACATAATGCGTCTACATCATCACCAAAATTACGTTCAACACAACTTCAAAATACAAATGATGCAATAAAATGTAAGCATTCGAAGAAATTGACACCAATGTTTCCATTAATGTAGTTTCCTCTGTGCTATTGTATATGTGATTCTAAGAATCATTATGAATTTGTATATGTTTAATCCAAAATGAATTCTCATAAACATGTCATTATTTGTGTGATGCACTTGCTAAACAAATAATTATCATTATATAGCCGTAAGTATCATAACTAAGAATGGCCCTTGTCTAAATTTCATTTTAGAAAGAACAAAAGCGTACATCTAAATAATTGTTGCATGAACATAGTGATGGCAAAACGTTTGAAAAAGCTTAGGTTCTGGAAATTCGGACAGCCTTATATAGCAAGGAATCAATCACGGAGCAGTCAGAGCAGCAGTTAATTTTTCTCATTTCTCCAGGCATGCAGTTAAATTACCGAATTGCCATGGATATTTTTCACTAGAAAATCAAAACGGGTATAGGAAAGAAACAATAACAGCATAACAGTTTGCAATAGTACTGGTACTGAATGAGCATACCATGAATAGATCAAGCTCTTTCTCATCGCCGACCAAGCCTTGGGCCCCACCATCCAGAGCCGAGTATTTAGCCACCACTTGCTGTGACGTAGCCAGCTGAGCGTCGATCCTCGGAAGCTGATCCACCGGCGTGGCGGTCCTCAGACACGCCACGTGTGCAGACAATAGCTGCTCGTACAAAGGGTGGGCAAGTATCTTCGCCTTGTACCTTGCATTCTGCCAATTTGAAGTCCCTTCTCCTCCTCCGCCTTCCACCGCAAAACCTTGGCTCTTGTTGTTATTATTCAACTCACTGTTGCTTCTCTCCAATTCTCCAGATTCCACAGCGACCATGGATTCCCTATCAACTCCTCCTCCACCTACTGTTTCCACCGCTGCCATGTCACGGATGGCATCACCGTGGTTATGTTGAAGAAACGAAGACGATGAACGGGAGAGCCACTGGTTGGGAGCTCGGGAAGCCGAGGTTGGCTCGGAAGCATTTGTAGTAGTAGTATGAAGGTTAAGGAAATTAGGGTCTGAGAAGTGAGCCTGGGGTATTGGTTGCCGGAGGAGAGCGCTATTTAACCAAATTAGGAGCTGAGGTATCCGTTAGTTGGTTCATTTGTTGCTGTTGGTCGGCAAAGTGCCGAAGTGGAAGGTCTTGAGAGAGATGGTCGGGGTTAAACGCCATGTAAACCTTTTTACCTTGTGTTTTTTCTATAAATCAAGACGTATTGGAAAGAAAGATTACGATGAAGAGGACGATGATCGTGAGGTCATGGTTTGATTGAGAGAGGAGACGACGGAAAACAAGGGTTTTTGTTTCAAAAGTCGGGGGTAGTTGAGTTAAAGATATAGGTTTTGCATTGCTAAAGGTGAGGGATTTAAGGATATTATATTATAAAGGGTTAAGATATGTGTGTGTGTAAGAAACGTTGTTAATGATAGAGTCTGAGTTAAAGCGATAGACAGAGAAACCAATAGCAAGACGGAGGGATTGTTTTCAGCTGAAAATATCTGCTTTTTCTTTTTTATGAATATAGTTGTAGAGCAAGATTTTTATTATGGCAGGGGGGAAGGGACCATTTATTATTTTAAAATTATATAAGTTTATTATTATATTAATTATTATTTAAAATAAAATAATAATTTAATATTTTTTGAGTCACTGGCTTAACATTATTATATAATTTTTAAAAATCATGACTTCGATCTTTAGTTGTAGTTGTTCTATTTAGTATTATATACACTAAATAACATTTTTTAATTTTTAGTATTTTTTAGGTGTGTTTTACTTTTATCGTTTAAATTAGGAAATTATGTTTGTTTCTCTTGATAATTTTCTGAGATTATTCGTTCGATTAATATTTTATTTAAGATTAAACTTTACATCTTCTTCTTAAAAGTACGAAATACTTTATCAATATACTTAAAATTTATTGGCAAAATATTTTCTACAATAATAATAAAGTTAGTTTATTTAATTTCAAATTGTTGTTAAAATTAATATATTAACCATAGTTTTTCTAATATTATTAGCCTATTCACACACGCAGAAAAAGGGACTGTTGTTCTTTAAAATACTATTCGTAGCTTACTCTTAAAAAATGAGAATATTGTTCTTTTCAAACTATTTATAACTTCCTTTTCCTATGCATAGAGAGATAAAATTATTTGACCTTTTGCCATTAGAATATGATTGTTTTCATCCAAACTCTTACGAGTGAAGATACGCCAATAATTTTTTAATTACTATTAATAAGTGATTTTAATGATAGAAAGTCTAACTAGATTAATAACATAAATATATAATTATCGAATTACTTATTATTGAATTAATAAAAGCAATGTATTAATTTTTCTTAAATTAAGTCGTATTTGCTTAATAATCTTAAGTTCTTCTATCTTTTTTCATTTTGATTGATGAACGAAAATACAAGAATTTATGTTGGCTACTATCATATTTTAATTTCTTATATCACATCTTTTTTATTTCCTTTCATTTTCAATTTTTAATAGTTATGGCACAATTTCCTCTTCATTTATGGTACATTTATCGGTGTAATTTTTATGATACTTTTTAGACATTTGGCTGTTATTTTAGTTCATCTTTTCTCATGGTTGGATTTAATATTGTCATGACTGATCAAGATGACGCTTATTTGTTCTCATAGTGATCTTTCCTATTTTGGACCATCAGATTAGATTTGGATACCTCATTTGCATACATGAATAGTTTTTAACTTTGTTCGATTCTGATTTGTGAATTGTCGATGATCTTTGAATAATTTTGTTCCGGCTGCTAATCAATTCAAACAGAAATGAAAATGTATACTAAATTCTCATCCAGATTTCATTTCATTTGAGGAAATTGAGAAAAAAAATTATCCCGACCAGACCTCACGAGGCTAAGTTCTAAAAAGGTATAACAACGAAACTACCTGAAAAATGTCTGGAATAAACCCTTGAGTCACAAGCATCGCTGATTAGTTATGGGGTTTCATTTTCTCCCTTAAAGTGAAAAACTCATACGCGTAATGCGCTGGGTACCGCGTCCGTAAAAGCGGTTACAAATACAAAGTACATCATCGTATCTAGAAACACACATTTGTTTATACTGTGTGGTGAGCAAGCGTAAGCCTGTACCTTCAAACTGTGCGCGTGTTTTCCTTGTCAGTCAGTGTTGCGTGGCGAATGTAAGAAGCTGCCACCGAGGAAGAAAATAAAAATTCCTTGTCTTGTAGTGGAATTGAAAAATTCCGAGTTTATTTGGGTTTTAACGAGTTACGTGAGTTAATCCACTTACGTTAAACAGTGAGGGTCGGTGGGGGGACACCATAAATCACGTCGACCCTCTCTCCGCCACTGTCGGGACAACGACTTGGAGGACGCTCGCCCAGAATTTGGACCACAAATGGTCCCCAGGGCTGAAACACGATCCCGGCTTAAAGCAGGGGCTCACTAACAACCGGAGTGGGGATCACCGGGTATTTTAAATTCCCTGTCAGACGCCGGTGAGTTAATGAATGCAAACAGTTGATGGTAGCTAGGAAGTAGGAAGCCCTAGACGGGAAGAGAGTGGCTAACACAATTTCATAAGTAATTTTTATCCTAAAAGTAAAACCATTTTAATGATACGTAAATTAAAAACAATATAATTAAAATATAATAATTAACTCCGGAATTCACATGTAATATGAAAATGACTATGAGAAATTCAGCTTCAAATTAAAGTATCCGAACACTTGAGTGGAAGGTTATTTGAGGAATACGTGTGGAGCTCCAAACTCACAGAAAGTGGACCGATCATGAGAGCCGCGGACTAAGTTCCGTGGAGCATCCGATACGATTGACCACAGTCACGTGCAATCGGGCAGGTCTTTCAACATTAACGAATGGGGTACCGCCACGAGTACAGTTCTGACCACAGTTACGTGGACCCCACACGTTTTACTGGAAAGACTGCTACGTCGTTTCGAGTAATATGAATTTGTTAAATTTCCTGGTTAAGGTTAAGGACTCCCTGTGTTTGTGTCTGTGATTTTGATTGATCTTGGTGAAATTACAGTGACTGTATCTATACGTAAAAATTAATTTGAAACAAGCTATTAACTAAAGACCGAGTCAACAATCTTTAATTAAAAGATGTCAGTTCACACCTTTCATCTTTTTTAAGTTGGTGAATTTAATATTAATTACGAGTAATTTTTTTTCTTTTTCTTCCCTTTAAGTAGAAAATGTTCCAAAAACATGTAAAAAATGATACACCCTCGTCCCACTAAATTATTTTTTATTGACTTTTTAAAAGGTACAATTTTTAAACTTTGATCATTATTATTTTAAATATTTTAAATAATTAAATTATATATTTCGAAACTATTTGATTCGAAATTTTAAAATATATTTTTTATAATTTTATCAATAATAATTTTTAAATAATTAATAGCCAAAGTTGAAACAAAATGACAAAAAAGTTCAATAAGGGATAGTTTGAGTGAGATGGATGGAGTAATTAAGAGAGTAAGTATATTTGGTGAGTTGGTCAAGCTGTTCATCTTTGTTATCTCGTACTTTTTAGGGCGTGGATTCTATACCTACTAAGAGCACACTACTTCTTCTCCTTATAGTCTCTATTCTCTTCCTCTCTATATAGGATCAAATTTAAAGTTTTTCAAAAATAAATAGTATTTAAGAATTGATTTATTTTTATTATCAGTATTTATACATAGTAAATATAGTTAAATAGTTAAATTTATTAAATTATTTATAATTTATGATAAAATATACAATTAATAACAATCATGTGTTATTATATAAACTTAATAGATTTTTCTCATTGGTGTGCCACACATATTTTTTTTTATCTTTGTTGATCGGTGGTGGCACCAACTTTAATGTTGGTGGTCGACTGTCATTATTCTTTATTTCCTTTTTTTCTATATCGCATCTTTATTTTCTTTTTAATCTTCAATAAGTCTGTATGTGTTACACGTTTTCATATGCCTTTTTGGCACGTTTATTATGCTTTTTGGCATGTTTTTCGGTTCTTTGGTCGTTTTTTATTTATCGTTTTTCTAAGGGTTGATTTTTCATTGTCACGACTGATCAAGATGACTCTTATATGATATATTGTGATCTTCTCTGCTTTGGATCCTTATATTGGATTTGGAAACCCAATTTATGTTTGTGGATAGCGTTTCACGTAGCTCGAGATTGATTTATAGTTTGTCGGTGGTCTGTCAATAGCTTGATCTCCTTTTGTGGTTCGTTTGTCGATGCAATCAGATCTGTTTGTATCTGTCTTTGTTCGAGTTTCTTGATTAGATTTATGTGATTATAAGTTACTAGTTTTGTTTCAATGATTATAGGAAATTATCCTAATTATGTGCTTAATTTACAATTATGATTGTAAATCTTTATTGTAATTTGGGATATTTCTTATTTTGAATAAAATTAAATGCTTCTATTAAAAAAGATATAAACTTATTTAATAGCCACATCAACAATTATGTTATCGTTTAATTGTAAGTGATTTAATTGAAGTCAAATTCATAATTTAATGATCTAATTTACAATTGTTTTTTAATAATTAAAATAAAAATCAATATCATAATTCAGTGTCCTAGAATATAATTT